GTGGTCACTCAGAAGCTCTAAGAAAGCACAAGCTCACTGTCCATCCCGACCGAGGCCCTCACCCTGCTGCTTTCTTCCCCTCTGCCTTGCACATTCTTATCTAGTTCAACCATTGGTCATCTGATGGAAAATAGGCCATGTACATTACATTAGTACTTTGGGAACTGGACATAACTAATAATCACCTTCCTGCTGGCTGGAACCGGCAGTGCTACAATCTTGATGGTCCGTGCCATCCAACGGGATGGTCACAGACTGCCACCAGCCATTCAGGCTAGAACTACCCAGCAGTTAGCCAAGCGAATTACAGCCCACTGGGAATGTGTGAGTCAGGCAGAGCTTCAGCGGAAAGGACCAGTGGTGATTATCTAGGGCAGTGCTGAAGACGCAGGGTGTGAATGCTAGCTGGGCTTAAGAGTCACAGGGCGGAGCGAGAGACTCCCACCCGCAGTGTGAGTGCCGGGGTTCAGTCAGGGCTTTCAACCTCTTCACCTTTAGTTCCTTCCTTGTAAAAAGCAGAAATGAACTTCGTGAAAATGAACTAACATACAAAAGATGCTAACTGACTCTGACGAGATGCACTCAGTTGAAGCTAATGCAAAAATTACAAAGTTACCTTGCATTTTCCATTGCACTGGAGGAGGAGACTAGCTTTTCCTCTAGTACTGTGACTTTCTTTCTTAGTTTGGCCTCTCTGTCTTCTGCAGCCAAAGCTTCCCGGGTGTAAGAATCTTCTGATTCTAAAAGATGGTTACGCAATCTCTCTAGCTCCTGGTTTAACCGTAATTCTTTGTCACGCAAGTGTTGAACCTAGGTAGAGGACATTTCTTTACTTTTCTTTTACACAAAGTTCCCTCACCTCTACACCCCCAACTTGCTGCAAACCACTGTATCATCAAATCTTTTCCCACTATTGAAATTTATTAATGGTGTATTAATAGCTCATAAGATATATTTACGCTGGGAACAAGTCTCCTGAAATAATCTTGAAGAGTCACCTGAAAGTGCTACTTTGTAGGACCTCACTTGCTCTGTAAGTAAAAGGGAAAATGGGATTAATGGGATTATGCAGAAGTCCTGAGCTCTACTGGGACTGACTCCTCTTTCCATAAATCTCACTATTTTTCCACACAGTACGGGTGAGAGAACTTTTTCTTTAATCAAGAATGCCATGATTTTCACGTTGGAAAACAAATGAAATGCAACCTGAAAAGTCAAATCTTACTAAAGTATGTCAGACAATAAACAATAAACAAAGAGATGAATTTTTTCATTGATTTTCCAGTTATCCTACATAAGTTATTAAACTTACTGTGTGACTCACTATTCCTTCCAAGTGAAAACATACCTCATTCTGTAGGGCATTGTTCTCCATTTGCTTCTGTTTCAGGGACAGTGTGACTTGGTCTCTCTCCAGCTGAAATGTAACTGTCTTCTCTTGCATTCCTTTCACTGTATTTAAAAGCTGATTTAGCTCCCCAGTCTTGCCCTATTGGAAAGAAGTATTTTTAGCTTTAAAGTAAAATACTTTTCTTGATAGTACAAACAGGTGTACGTTTTATTAAAGTAGTATTTAAAAATGTCTAAAAAGAGCAGCAACTCCAAAAAAAGCAAATAGAAACTCAGAAAATATACTCAAAATACTTCTCAAGAAGGCTTACAAAGACCTTGGATACCATTCTTAGACCACAGGCTTTTCTAAAAGAAAAAACCAACATGAAACATTCAAATTCCAAATAATCTCAGCCTTTGATGTTCAGGAAGTCCCAAGGTGGAGATACACCCTAAATCACAGCTTAGGACTGCTCCCAAATATTCAGTATACCATGACTTATATTCAGAGGTGCGCCACCCAGAGATACTGATGCTGCAACAGAGACTGCAAGAGACAGGAGGGCATTCTCATTGCCCCATCCTTGCACTACAAGAAGGAATCTCAGCAGAAGTACCCAGGCCGTTAGAAGGAGAAGAACACAGTGAACCAGCAAAATCAAGACAAAGAGGGCCAACACACAACTTTGGTTCCAGTCACTGGCTGTTTTTTTTTTTTTTTTTTCCAGATTCAGGAAAATAATGTGGTAGATCTTCTTGTGACATTTCTTACCAGAGCAACACTTCCCAGTTCTACTGAGGACTCTGCTCCAGTCTGAAGCCAGTCCTGCCACCAACACGCAGTGCAGGTTCTACCCTAGAAGAATTCACTCGAATTCATAATTGATTTGGAACCCTAGAGCCTACAGGGAACCAGTCAATTCTAACTGAAGCTACACAATGAACACCATGCAGACACCACACACAAGTGTACTCCTAAAGCAGGCCTCAGGAGATCAGCATCACTTCCTTGCTTGCTATCTTCTAGAACTTGGTTGACCTCCAGCCCCACATGTATGCTCAACAGCATCATCTTTCAGTTAGTCATAGCCTCTGTGCATTTGTAGAGCCTGGTTCCAGGTAGCAAAGCTTTCCTCTGCAGCAAACAGCTTGCCTGTGGAGCACAGAAACAGAGCATCTTCCCACTCCTCTGGCACAGCCACTGCTGCAGCACAGATCACCAGCCACACAGTCACCAGCCTTGATAGCAGGCCTGCCAATATGGATTGCAGCTATGGGCTCCTGGCCAAGGGTGTTCCAAACTGCTTGTGCACATTGAGGTGGTCTCAGGTGATGATAAGGGAGCAGGAAACAATGCTCATCCACCCCACATTTAGTCCTTTCATGGCAAGGAGGAAGCCCTGTCCCTCACTTCCAATTTTGTTGGTCACAGAACAGCACAATCTTCAAAGATAACAGCAAAGGCTGGTTATGCATTCCACCCCATCTTTTCTTCTTCTTGCAAAAGCTGAAGGCAGGGGTCCCTTCCTCAACAATGATGTATGAGATGCCAATCAGGCCTTAGTCCTCTGGTTCTGCACACGGCCACCCAGATGTCTGATTCACCACTCCCACTGATGAAGGCCTTGGAGCCACCGAGGATGTAACAATCCATTACTGTTCAGCAGAGGTCAAAGGTGATGCAGTATCATCAATGAGTCAGTAGGCAGCAAACTTCTTCATGACACAGAGCCCTGAGCAAAATATGTGTCTGTTCCTCAGTTACAAAGCTATCAGTCATCCAAGCACACGGGCTGTGCATGCTCAGCTAGGCTGCAATGCAGCCTGTAGCCATGGCCTCAGAGACGGCAGCCCAGGCCTACAAACTTCTGTTTGGATGCACGCTCCCCAAAAACCTTGCTGCACTGCCTTCCGCATCTTTTCCACAGGGTACAGTTCCATTGATGCAGGAGGCCCAGTGTCTGCATGGCCCAGAGACTGCTGTGGAGCAGGAAGCCACAGCTAAAGGGGGTGTTCAAATCCACCCCAAGTGGTGAATGAAGGCAGAAGACAGGAAAAGGAATGTTGCAGGACTGTCTTGCTATAAGGTTGCATATGGTTAGATTTCTGATGTGTAAACATAAGAATTATATAATTCTTTATACCCATTTTAAAAATATATTTTAATTTCTAAATGTTTTTTCATCACATTCTGTAGGGACTTAAAGTTCAACATATCAATACTTGATGAAAAATACCTGTTCCATGTTATGTCTAGGATGTTTGATATTCAGACAGATAGTGAGCTTAAGCTTAACAGCCTAGGTTGTATGGTAATAACAATAAGCTTCTCTTCTGGAGGGTTAACAACCTAAGTCTGCAGATCAAAATTAGAGAAAAAGGAGGGCCGCAAGAAAAGCCAACATTTTGGCCCTAGCCTTCCAAGGTCAATTAAGACTCAGGACATATGAGAACTTGTACGGTAATGTCATGTAGCTCAGTAGTATCCCAAATTTTCTGATCAAGGAGACTATGGGGCCAAAGAGGAAAGTGATCGATGATGTAGAGTGTGCCTAAGGAGAGTCACATGGACAGAAAACATTCTCTCAGGCTTTCACAGAGAGTGCATTGGTCAAGCAATGGCCATGACTCATCCACATGGCTGACACCGACAAAGGTTCTACAATCTGAGGTACAGGATCTCAGGATAAATCCTGAGGGGATTTCACTGACCTTATCAGATCCAAAAGCTATAACTCTTGTTGCATAGGTCTTGCTTTATCCTGGTCTTAACCATCCAGTGGAAAAGTATAAAAACGAAGTATGAGAAGTAACGCCATGGTGTTATGTTGAGCTATAGGGGACTCAGGTCAACAATTTCTGACACTGCCAGTCAAGCAGAAGACCCAATACTATTATGGACTACTGAACTCTTTTAGAATATTTTGCTGGGTTAACACAACTATAATATTCAAATAACAAAATTAAACAAAAAAGGGGATACAGATGAATGTCTATTTTGTATCTGTGTATTCAAAATGGTTAGGATATATAGTTACATTCTCTTAATGAATAGAGGGATTTGTTATAATAATGTTTGTAAATAGGATATCATGTCTGCATCTTGTACAGCAAATAACCACTAGGAAGAGAGTACTCAATGTGTTAATTATTGAAACTGTCCTACCAGTTTGATCTGAAACTGTCTCATTGCTACTTGTCTCTCAATAAAATTATTGGAAAAAACCAAAACAAAACAAACAAATCCACCCCACGTCACCCCAGTTTCCACACTGGTGGCCCCAGGTGCAACAGCACTGGCCAGGACCTGCATCCAGGTGTCCTGCCCCACAGCTAAAATACATATCTGCTTGTTTATTTATTTTTATTGGCGTAACCAGGGATTAAACTCAGACCCTTGCGCTTGCCAAGGAAGTACTTATTCTACTGAACCATCTCCCCAGCCCCCAATTTTTTTTTTTTTGCTTGTTTGTTTTTTGAGAGCTGCCTCAAACTCACTATATACTCTAAACTGGCCTTAAAATTGCAGCAGTCGTCCTGCCTCAAGTCTCCCAAATGCTGTGATTTTAGACTTGCACCACCATGCCTGGTATTAAAATATGTTCTTAAAAAGGCATTCTCTTCGTTAATTTATTTTAAAAAATAGTTAATTTTGTCAAAGTCACAAAAACAAGAAAAGATTCAGATGTCAATTCTGAGGAGCTTAAGAAGGTATATCTAAGTATCAACTGGGCCCCTAGATGGCAACATGGAGCAGTAAAATGGCATGTGGTAAAAGTTTAAAAGAATCTGAACAGGGGCCTGGAAGATGGCTCAGTAGAGTAAGTGCTTGCCTGGCAAGCACTTGCTCAGTAGAGTAAGTGCTTGCCTGGCAAGCACAAGGGTCTGAGTTCAATCCCTGGTTCTGCCAAAAAAAAAAAAAAAAAAAAAAGAATGTGAACAAAGCATAGACTTTGCCTCATGATTGGTTCATTTGTTCTGACAAATACACTACAGTGATACAAGATGCTAAGAGCAAGAGGCTGAGGGGTACGTGAGTACCCTCTCTGTGATCTCTGCAACTCTTCTACAAATTAACACTACGCTACGAGAAAAGGCTAGAATGCTTATTTTTGGTACTAGAGGTTGAACACAGGACCTCTGCACTAAGCCACAACTCTAGCCCTTTTATTGAGATAGGGTTTCATATGTGGTTCACATTGGCCTTGAACTCACTAGGTAGCCTAGATTGGCCTCAAACTCAGAGGCCCTCTTGCCTTAGCCTCCCAAGTGCTGGGATCAGAGGTGTGAGCCTTTAATAAAGTGCTGGGATAAATCAACAAAACCAAAAGGCAAAACTGTATGTTCCTTTCACCAATCTAGTGCATATTCCTATACAGGGAGCACAATTATTTTCCAAAACAGTTTTCAGTTAACTTCTTTTTCTCATATTACAAAGAACAAAGGCTTAAGAAATTAAATAGATTTGAAAATCATTTGGGAACATACACTCTTTTAAAACAAGATATTGTTGATTATTGTCAAAACACAGATTAAGTCTCTTACCTAAAATGATTAGGACCAAAAGTATCTTCAATTTTAATTTTTTTACATTTTGAAATATTTCATTAGATTACTGGCTGACCATCTTAATCTGAAAGTCTAAAAATCTGTAATATCGGCTCTCAAAAATTTTAGATTTTGGGTTGGGGATGCTCAACCTGTATAGCATAAAGATATTCTTAAATTTTATAGAGAAAATTGGAAGAAAATGTTTCATTTACATTACTCTCAAGTAACACAATACTTAAAAACTACACATCTTTCTATAAATTCCACTCAGAACATACCTGTTCTTTCTCCTTCAACAGCTGCTCAAAAGCAATAGCCTTCTCCTTCATTGAATGGCATTCAAATTCTTTTTCTCGAAGCATCATAGAAAACTTCATGTTAGTCTCTTGTAATGCGTGGTATTCAGTTTCTTTTGCCCTGGATGTTTCTACTATTTTTTCATTTTCCACTTTTAGTTTAGTAATTTCCATTTCTAAAATTAATACTCTTTCCTTCAGGTTTGTTACCGCCTGCCTCAAAAGCTCATTTTCATTCACTTTGTTAGTGAAATTTTCATTTGAAGAAAGTAACTGATCACTTTTGGCTTTGATTAAGAGATCTTTTTCTTTGAGTAAGTTCTGCAAAACTTCTTGTTTCTCTTTTAGCTGCTTAACTTCTGAGTCACTTTGTTTGTATTCTTTCCTTTCTTGCTCTGAGGTAGCTACAAGTGAATCGGACAACCTGTGATTATTTTCCTGGAGAGTTCTAATCGTTACATCTTTTTCCTGCAGTGATTTTCTTAATGTTTCTATCTCTAGTTGAAGCAACTGAGAAGAATCACTTGACAGAGCAGTCGGACCTGCTCTAAGTAAGCTAGAAGAGAGATGGGGTGAAATGCTATCAAGCTTTCCTAGAAGAAGATCCTTTGTATTGCAGAGCTGACCTATGCTGTGCTGAACTTGAGCTAATTCCTGCCCAAAATTTTTGAGTTTGGTTTCATTCTGCTCATAACTCTGGATCAGGCCAGTGTAGTCTCCTTGTAACTTAGAGTTATTATCACTGTCAATCAAAACTTGTGCCTGAAGCTGGTGAAGCTCTTCTTGAAGTTGGGCTGACTCATGCTGCATGTTCTGCACCGTGGTCATCACCTGCTGCTTCCATTCTTCCATTTTCTTCACTTGCTGTTTTAGCTTATCACGTTCCTGCAGGAGCTCTTCAAACTGGTTGCTATTAACACCTCCCTCGTTACCAGTGCTGGAGGTCTGTAAAACTGCCAATAAAGTCTGACATTTCTGGCTTAGAGCATCTATTTCGATGTCTTTTTCTCGAATGATACGAGACAAATTCTGAACAGTTTCTCTAAACATATCTTGGCCGCTGCTTTCAAATCTCATGGACAGTTTCTTATTTTCATCTTGTAATTTAATGAGAGCTGCTTCTTTGGCAGCAATGATATCTATCATTTTGTGATATTCAGTTTTTAGATGGCTATTTTCCCTGGTCTTTTCATCTAAAACAGCAAACAGTTTTCCCTTTTCCACGTCGTAGGCCTGCAGCTGCTGTTGAAGATAAACAATATCCTGGGCATAGGCCGCTGAAGCAGTTCTAGCACGAAGAGCTTGTATCTCCAAGTCTTTCTGCTGGATAATCTGAGTGAGTTTACCAACCTCATCTTTGGAGAGCTGATCAATCTGCTTAGTTAAAGATATATTCTTTTCATTTAGAAGTTTAATCTCCAGCTCTCGCTCCTTTATTCCTTTCACTAATCTCTCTGTTTCAGCTTTAGATAAGTCATGCTTTTCACTTCCGTTTTCTATGTTAAGACTCTGAACTTTAGTATCTTGAAAAATATCAGAATTCTCTGTTTGAATATCCTCCTGTCTTTCTTTATGTAACTGGGATTTTACTTGCTCAACTGTTTTTTGTAAGTTCTTAATTTCTTCATCTTTCTCTAAAAAAAGCTGGGTGTGTGCAACGCTCATCTGCTCATGCTGGTACCTGAACTCGTCCATTTCCTTCTTCTGCTCCTGCAGAGACTGAAGTAGCTGCATCTTACTCTGGTTTTGGTCTTCAATTATCTTTAGATGATGTTTGATTTCCTCTTCCAGGTGGTCTTTGATTATATTCAGGTGAGACACCTCACACTCTAGTTCTGTGACACTTTCCAGAGTCTTAGGCTCAGCCACAGGCAGAGCTCGGCTCTGCTGCTCCTTGAGTCGCTCCAGTTCTTCTTGCAGATGATTATTTTCTTCTTTCATAGATCCAAGGCTTCTATCTTTTTCCTCTATGGTCTGCCTTAAAATCTCATTTTTTCTTAAGGCTTGAGAACATTTATCCAGTTCCTCCTGCAGCTTAGAACTCTCTGCTTTAAGTTTATCAATACAAATATCTTTTTCATTTATGGCTTGTGTTAGGTGCTTCTGCTTTTCTAAACTAGATGACAAAAACTCCTTATTTTCTTTATAATCACTAGCCATTTGCTCAATATTCTTTTTAAGTCCTGCTATTTCAAAGTCTTTCTCTTGACTAAGTTTAAGTAAATGTTCATGCTCCAACTGTAAGGCAGAGGTGCTTGCATTTGACAAGTCCTCAGTGGTTCTGTACTTCTTTGCTTCTTCCAAAAAACCCCTTTCTGCTTCTGTCTGTTCTTTTTCCCTTTTTAGAGTCTCTACAACAATGTTTCTCTCCTGAGAAATCTGTTTATTACTAGCAATAGATTCCGCCAACTGATGCCTGACATCTTCACATTCCAAAACCAACTTTTCTTTTTCCACTTTGAGATCAAAAACAACTTTCTTCAAATTTTCATTGAGCTGTTTTATTTCTGAAAGATTTTGATTTAAGTTTTTAACTTCATCTTCCCTTTCTTTAAGTAAGTCATCCTTGAAATGACTGTCGGAGGCTTGATTAAGAGACTGAGTTAACTCACTCCTGACTCTAGATAGCTCCTCCTCATTGTGTCTTATACGTTCCTTGAGTTGAACATTCTCCTTCTGGATATTTAAATTGTTTTTCTGCGTTTTGCTTAGCTGATCTACTAAATCTGCTACTTCATCTTCAAGCTTTTTCTTGGTTCCATGCAAATCCCTTAGAACCAGTTCATTTTGAGTTAACTTTTCTTTCTGCAGGCCTAACTCTTGAAGCAGGTTTACTCGGTCATCTTCTAGCCGCTGAGCTCTCTTCATTTCATCATCGAGCTCTTGTTTCAGCTTCTTTACGATGCCATCTCCTTCACTTTGTTGTTTTGATAGTTGATCTTTTATCAAAATCACGTGCTGAAAGGCAAATTAATTTACGTGGTAATTTTACATTTTTTCATTTTAGTGCTGCAAGACCATTTTGTAAATTTCACTCACAAGAGTAACTGTCAGATATTTCTAACCCTCTTTGAAAATAACTTTCTACTGCAACATGACAAAATTATTTATAAATACAGCAAGTACATCTAATCATTTTAGGAATAAGAATTTAAAACCAAAGAAAGTAAATATTAGATGTTATATAATTTCAACTCTTAAACACTACAACAATAATTAACAAACTAAAACCTCTTGGGCAAAGCAGGTCCACTGTCTATTTCTGTAAATACAACTGTATTGAAATAGAGCCAGATTCATTTATTTACATTTCAATTGTTCAGCTGCACCTGAGATGATATGGCCTGCAAAAGCAGAAATATTATACTACCTAGCAGTAGTATAACTAGTATAATTAACAGTGGGTTAATCTCTCTGACTAGAGCATCATGAATAAAACTACTAAGGAAATCTCACAGTTAAATTACATTTAACATTTCCGCATACTAATCAGGGTACAGTCCCTGACTACACTGTGCAGCCTTCGACTTCCCTGTTCTCAGTGCAGGGTTACCTTTGTAGCTTCTTGGTTCTGTTTGTCTAATTCTTCTAACTCAGCTACCAGAACTTCCTTTTCACCGATACTCTCATTCAGCTCCTGTTCCTTTGTCTCCAACATCAGCCGTAAGTTCTGTAATTCTGAATCCAAATTCATGTCCTTCACAGCTGTACTTTTAATTGCTTCATATTCATTGCTCAGTTTTGAGAATGATAACTGAAGCTCTTCCTTAAACAATCAAGGAAAGGGAGAGAAACATCTACTGTCAACTCCAGAGACATGGAAGATAAAACATTCACCAACCAATGAACTTTGGGTTTCCGCTGTACATGCTCTATATTGAAAACATTACTGAACAAAAACAAAGTAAGGATCTATATGAAATACAACAATTCACAGCCTTCATGCATGTTCACTTGTATGTGTGGCTTCCAGTGAAACATTCCTGACTCAAGCCAGGTGTAAGGACTGTTTACTGTCTAGCTCCAACCTCTTCAGACTTTTCGCCTGGACAGCGCGTCCTACACAGCTCACACTGCTGGCCCTCTCCCCACCCCCACCACACACTTTTCAGGAGGCTCAATCTCCCAGTTTTTATCACTTCTTCTCTCTAACACCCAATGACCAACTGCAATGATTTAAATAAAAATGCAAAATCAACAGTCATTCACTCTAAAGCTTATCTTCTCTAATTAGAAAATAAGAGGCTTTTCCCTCACTAGAGAACTTTACTTCATTACTTGTTTCTGTCAGAATGTGAAAATTTCTCTTGATGTAGGAAATTCCCTTCCACCTTCCTTTACCTTCTTCTAACTGAGCACAGACGAGGCTAGAGCTGACACTCCTCCAAGGGATCTGGACACATGTGCAGCTTAGAGTCTATTACTTGGTATTTACATTTAATGTTTTTCTTCAAATTCCCAGAAGTGGGACAGTTCTCTGAGCTTTAACATTGTTTCAACATCTGATTATGATGTGTGTGATAAATTATATATCATTGTAAAACCTATTTTTACTGATAAAGTTTTTTTTTTTAAGGGTAGGAAGAATTTACTGAAAGGGTATCTTTGACTTACAATTTATTTAGAAGACATTGTATGATATCTTCTAGTATTAGAAACTTTACAAAGTATATTTCCATTTTCTGTTGACTTTATATTACTTCTTCTCTGTCTTTTATACACATATACGCACACATATATGGAAAAAAAAATACGTGTATAACCCAACATAAGATTGGTACTGTTTCATAGAAATCTGCAATGACCTTTATTTTTTCAA